ATTGCCAAAAATAAACACACTTCATACGAGATTTACAAGCTTATTTTATGTATGATAGAAGTTTTGAAGGATATATTTTTGTTTTCTGAGTTTTGATTTCAGATTTACAAGTGGCGTTATGGGTCTTCTCCATTTATAGTATTGTATATTTCCTTGTGATTTAAATCATGTCTTCAAATCACTTTTCTTATTAGGCATTAAAGCTTTATTGAAATTCTATAAAAAAAACATTTAACGAACGATGGAAAAACGATTAACCTATTCTCAGAATCCATCATATTTCTCTTGTTACAAGAAGTAATTGTTAAACAAGATATTTAAAATGAAGAAGAAACAAAACTACTTTAAGTTGTGCTATTATACGTCCATTAGAGAAAAGAGGACTGAAAATAATAATTTAATTAACAATTAAAAGTAATTATAGTAATTAAAATAGTAAAAAAATAAATAACGAATAAAATGCTTCGCTTTTAACTTTTCACTATTAATTATAAAATTATTAAAGGCTCATATTTATATTTATAAAAACGTTAATAACATTCAAATGAAATTAAAATTATGGTTATGTATAATAAAAATAAGATGATAATACGGTAATTAAAATCTAATGATATTTACTTTTTTCTGTTTGACGCCATTTTAGACTAGTTTTTAACTAGTTCATTATCATATGCATTGAATTTAAAGGCTATAGTCTTATAAGAAACATTTTGAATTTACTTCTTAAAATTACTTATCTTTTAAAAATCTTCTATAAAATATTATTTTGTGTACAACTTGTTAGAAAGTAGCTTTTTAGTTATTATTGTTATTATTTAATAATTGAATAATTGTAAATTTGGAGCTCCCTGTCGACACGAAAGAGCAGAGTTACCACACTTCATCGCAATGAAAATAGATCTAAAAAGGGATTAACTTAGATTTTTAAAAATATTATTTATGTATTAGCCTATAAATTGGTTTTATTGTATTGGAATGTATATAAAAGCGTTCTATTTAAAATTTTATTCTATTTTTGTGGGTTAAAAGGACGAAAAATCCAGGACTGTTCCGAATAAATCGAGACGTATTGTCACCTCTACAAAAGACAAATGTTTGACCCAATTCCGTTTTCTACTGTCCTTAGACAAAATGATTTTGGTGATACACTTTGACATCTCGTGAAATATTTTCGCAGCTTATACACAACATTAAAGTCAGGAGGATTTTTTTTAACACATAATCCCAGATTGTGTTAAAATTACATTAATTTTTTAAACTGATAATTTGATACTGTTTAAATAAAATAATTAAAACAACATATCGACATATCTAATAATATAGTTAACTCCAAATATTAAAATTTCTTTATTTTCATATGATTAGAACTTTAGATTTTAAAGTAGCAGACATTTCAGATATGTTTATTGCTTACTGTTTATTTTATTTTTTGTCTCCGGAAGGGAGCAATTGTATTTCTTGTGCCCTTCCTATAAAATCCATGGAAATATTTACATAATACTTATTGTAATATTTAGTTATAAGTAACAGAACTTTTCTGCTACTATTTACTGATTTATATAATAAATAGGTTATTTTATTAGAATATTTTCATGTTTGATGAATGAACTAAGCTTCAAATTACTGTAACTGTACTTTATTATTGATTTTTATGAATATTTATGGTAAATCAGTAATTTATTAGACATTCAGATAAGTGTTTAATATTATAATTTACAATTTATTATCAATAATATGCATATTAAAAGCAGTTTTGGAAATTTATCCACCTTTATATTCGTCCATCTATAAGAATTATTTAAAAATTTTCAGCTTTTAATAAAAGTAAAACATGAATTCTGATAAATTATAAATTTAAATTTTTATATAAACTAATAATAATTTTTCTATGCAATTAACGTTATTTTTTAAAATTGCATTTAAATAAAACTAAAACCAATCAGAAAATTTAAAAGAAGGTAAATTATCGTTTTCTAGACATAGCTAAACTATAAAACAATAAAGGTCGTTGGGGCTGCATGATCCAGGAATAACACGGCATTTTCAAAGGAGGTAGTCCTGATTTTTGTTTTATCACTAAGAACGTGCAAAACTTTTTCCTGGATTACATTGTAAAGTCATTCAAGCAAATTGTCTACTCGTAGATGGGATAGGATTTGATGACGTCGGCTAAAACTACATATCATATTCTGCTAGCTTTACTTCTACTATAGAAGAAATAACTTTGCTCGTTCAATCAATAGAAAGAATGCCTTCAAACCTTCCTACATAGTATATCTTTAGTTATTTTTAAACGTTTTTAAAAATATTTCAAATATTGTTAAAAAGGAAAGTATATTAAATCGTCAAGAACGATATTTAAAAAATAATTTCCTTACATAAAATAACGTTTTCGAAGTGAATTCATCATTTCGTGAACTGCAAACTTCTTCAAAAAAAAATTGTCACATGCAAACACGTACTTGGAAGAATATTTAGTTATATATAAATTTATTTTACATGGATATACAAATATATATCACAAAATACATTTGGGATAAACGTTAGAATTTCGAAAAGGACCGTTTCCTTTATGGTAATACGTTTCCACTCCCTTTTTTGGCTGTCCTAAAAAAAGCCAAGAAAGGGAGTGGAAATCTGAAAATGATTGTAAAATGAGAGCTCTAATCAAGGAAAAAACGGTGATCTTTCCGTTGATTAGAGAGAACTTGAGCCTGGATATCACTTTTTATCAGCACACTGCCTTTCCATGGAAAGGAAAAAGCTATTTTCCTTTTACCTTTATCAAGTTTCGAAATTTCTCTTATTTCCTATTGGGTTTGTCATTTTCACGTAGTGTTGCATTCCTCTCTCATATTTCCTTCGTTCTGCCCTTTTTAAATTGAGCGATTAACCAATCAAAGGGAGAAATCCCATCCCGAAGAGAGTACCAAACGAACGAGAAAAACGAAGTTATCGATAGACAAGTATTCACTATTTGTGAATGGATTAGAGAGTATTGTTTACGTATCTGTCAGTCCAACAATATGCTTGTCTTAATCTCTCCTTGTAAGATGTTAAGCTTATATTAATATCTACATTGATTGATAAGATCTGATCCAGATTGTTGGAAATTGTTAATCTTCTTACAACTTTTAGATAAATTTATTACATTAATCATCTATATAAAGTCATTAGAGTAAATTTATATTATTAAATGTCAAATATGAAATATGATCATTTATATAGAGAAAAACCTCCCCGAGTTGGACACTAATGGATTCCAAAAATCTGTCCCATTTATAGAGGTGGCCCAAATAGAATAGAGGGGGAAAAAACCTATATAAACGTTCGCCTGTTCTAGTTTAAATACTTAGATAGATGATTAAGATAGAAGAGTGTCTAACTATTAAAAGTTTTACTGTAGATGTTCGCCAGTTTTAGTTAAAAAGTTCGAATTGGTTGGGTCTAGTGAATAAAATTACTGAGCATTGGCAGTTGAGTTCGAGTGCCACACTGGAGGCTGGTTCTGTGGAGTTTTCTAGGTATTTTTCATCTAAAAAGGGACCAGTTTCACATAGAAAGTCTTCTTGGGGCATTCCTCTAGGCTACCCAATTTGAGCGGTTTGCTGGAATAATGTAAAACACAACACTTACGCCTCGAGGAATTTTCCAAGAGGACTTTCTATGGGAAACTTTTCTCTTTTTGGATGTTTACTCACGTGAGAAAAACCTAGAAATCTTTATAGGGACAGCCCCTCCAGTGAGTCATGAACTGACATTAAAAAATGATTTAATATTGAACTTCTTTAAGTGTATTATACTTTATATATTTTATTTTCTATAAAACTTCTGTAAAGAATTTAATTTTTTCGAGAATNAATTTCACATAAAATAATATCTATATTCTTTGCTAATCTTAAAATACGTGAAATTAGTGAAGATTATTTTAATCATTGCTTCTGTAACCATTGATAAGAATTACTCATGAATTCTAATTTATTAAATATGATTTGTTTATTTATATCTGAGACTGAATTCCATCTACAGTTCTGAATTCTTGAGTTTTCTCACTATAAATTACATACAGACATGTAATTTTAGATAGTATAAAGAAAAGTATAAGCAGTTCTAGCTATTAAAAAAGAAAGAGACAGACGATGGGAACAGTGTCACGTTATCCTATGCGGCAATTGCCTGGGGTCCCACTAACAGAGGGCCCAAACTAACCTTTAATAAGAAAATATTTCCTCATATTCTTCCAAAGAAAAATATCTTTAGTCTACACTGTATACGAGCCCCCTAATTTAAATTTGCCCTGGTTTAGTGAAGATATAACGCGCCACTTTATGAGAAGTATAGATGAATTAATGTGGCTAGGAAGAATAGGAGGATGTGAGGTAGAAAGTGAGGAAACAGGAATCAAGGAAGGAGAATCTCAAATATTAATTTTTATTCCTTTAAAATACATTATCTGTAATAAACAATATAAAATTATGGGTAGATTTCAGAGTTTAAAATAAAGTTTCTTATAAAACACTGAAAGACACTTTTATGAAAATATCATGATATATTTATACCAAATAAAGTGGATGGAAAAACTTAGTATTTGGTAAATTTAAACCAAACAACGTTATGATAAGTGGAGATTCTAGTATTAAAATATTTATGATATTCAAGAAAGAGAAAATGTCATATAAATTTATTAGAGCCAAATGGGAAAGAAAACAATAAAAGAAATCTTATCCGGTAATCGAGAACATTCTATCTTGTTTCAATCTGCTATTTCGTAAATTCATCCGAGTCATTAAAGGAAAGTTTAGAATCGATTCTTCACTATTTCATTCTGCAAACTACTTGCTGCACACGAAAAACAGTGGGCCATCACCTCGTCCTGCCTACTTCATGTCCAGTATAGGTCATAAAGGCAAGAATAGTTTGCTATTTTTCATCTTTACGTTTCTGATTTAGTGGCCAGAATTTCCTTCGTGTGTGATGCATTCTTCGCGTGTACTACTTACTTGATGGTTTGTTCCCACGATAGCAGAACTTGGTAAGAAAGTGAAACAGCTACAACGGTGACTCCGTGTTCTTTGGCCAGAAGTGACAGGGATGCAGATATAAGACTTATAGTAAACCACGTGATTGATTTTCTTGTGATACCGTTCGTGTCTTTGGAACACCTATGAGGATAAAAGAAAATCGATTACAACCTACTCCTTTCTCTAATTTATCAGTTTTATTTATAGTCTTATTTTTTAAAAAAATATAAACTTCTGAATCTACAAAGAATTAAACACTAGTATTGTTATTTATTTGATTAAAACAATGAAAAAATTTGTATTTTTAATGATGATAACAGGAAATTTTTCTGGAAATGAAGCATTTTTTTAAATTAAAGTTTAATAAAATAAAACGAATTTTTAATTTTAATTATATAGTCTATATTTATAAGTTCAAATTATGTAACTAAAGTTTCAAAATATTAATAAAATTTTGATATTATAATGTAATAAATTTATAACAAAGCCTATATTGAAGAAAATGTGGTATATACAAAATTATGTTTGGTTAATTGAATTAAGAATTAAAAAGAAAGAATAAAGAAATTAAAAATTAAAGTTGAGAATAAATTAAATATCAGATAATAAACTTTATAGCTTATTGGGTTTAGACATTTTGATAGAGTAATTAGACCTGTAAATCTTAAAAATGTTACATTCATATATATTTTTAAATTGTACTATTTCACACAAATATAACAATTAACAGGAGAGAGTCATACAGTTTGTTTGTTAAGTTATGGCAACGCAACACTTGGGCGATCTGCCTAGGGAGATGCCTTCCGGGAGGTCTTTTCAAGGGAAACTGGCCCCTATTTAAGTGTTACAGACGTGGAGAAAACCCGGAAAACTCCACGTGGCCAGCCCGTACGAGCGAAGCGCGAACCCATGACCGAACTCCCAGTGTTCAGGGAACAGAAGACCGCTTGGCTACTGGTGCGCCGAGAGTCGTACAGTACAGTACTGACCACCTTAATATTTTTGTCCGTAACCAATGTAAGACTAGGGAAAAACTGGTTTTGCAACAGTAATACACCTCAGAGAATGCTTCATAAAGTACTGTACATGGTAAGATTTCTCTAAAATTTTGACTAAAGTACTAATTATTTATATAACAGGGCATGAATTCCGGCAGTGCAAATATTGTTGTTCAGTACCGACCAGTTACTATTCTAAAGGATATTAAGAGCTTAATTATAATATAAATTGCTTTAGTGATTTTTATTCAAGCAAATAAAAGTACAAAATTCTTAAAACCAATAACATCATTTATTTAAAAAAGTGAACATTTGGAAAACATCGAAAATCCTTTGCAATCTGAGAGACCATACTCATATTTTTGCCAACTTGGATTGCTCTCATTCGATCTATTAATGTTGTAGTCGAACCTGCCTGTTGTCGTGTCATATTGTTCACAAGAACTTCTTTTATCTATTGCGATTTTCATTCCAACTTCGTTTCATTTTACTTTCTTCTTTTTTACACTTTCTACCATTTCTCACGAAATTGAGAAGAAAGAAAGATGAGACCTTTTCCTTAATAATTATTTTTGGTCGGTACTGCACGAAGTGGTCGGTACTGGACGCTGTCACGTGAGTAACATTTTGAAAATTGTCCGTTGAATACAGTTTTATATTGTGAAACTAATATGATTTATTTTAACTCAATATTACAATAGACCAGTGATTTCCAAACTTTTTTGATTGCGTCCTCCTAAGACGAAAATAATTATAAGTTGTACCCCTTATAATATAATATTAAAAATTTCCTGCTACTCGCAATTTGAATTTTTTTCCGTTTCACAAGTGATCGTAAGNAACAAGAAGCTTTAGCTAGTAATTTCAATAAATATTACTTTAAATATCAAAATGTTTTATTTATTTATGTCACCATTTACCATTCAAGACATCAAAATTAAGTTTGTAATTTTGCTATTATGTAGTTGTGTACAGTTCATAGTCAGGTTTTTGCTTTGAAAAGGAGTCCATGGGCATAATAAATTTGGGAACCATTGGTCAAGCTGATAATTACTTAAAGTTTGGGTGTTTGAATATTTTATAAGCAATTGTTTTCATTAAATAAATTACAATATTTCTTTTAGCAATCAATTTGCTTTGATAACAGAAACTTTAATAATAATAGTAAAATTACATAATACAGTATCACATCTGAATAGCAGACACTGTTAAAACTGAGAAGTTTGTCTGTTATTTAGAAGTGTCCGCTATTCAGAGGTATTGTACATGCCAGCGGTCATATTGTATTTTAATCTAGTCATTAATTACAGTGAAGAATGTGACAGATTACAAAAACATCAAATTTGCATTAGGAATGTGAATGTACTGAAAAGTATACATAGATGCTATATACTTTTATATATATGTTTTTTTTTTTAAAAATATCGTGTGTAGCTGTAAAAATCTCATTTTAATTGAAGTCTAAATAGCAAACAGATTGTATAGGACAGTGATCTCCAAACTTTTTTGATTGCGTACACCTAAGATGAAAATAATTATAAGTTGTACCCCTTATAATATAATATTAAAAATTTCCTGCTACTCGCAATTTGAATTTTTTTCCGTTTCACAAGTGATCGTAAGCTTACTTCTTCGGAAAGATACTATAAGATTAGACATACTGCGGAAGGACAGATACAGTGTTGTGAAGGGAAACTTGGCGTACTCCAAGTATCATTTTGCGTACCCTCTGGGGTACGCATACCCCATTTTGAAGACCACTGCTATAGCCAAAAAGTACAGTACATCTTAAAATGAAATTAACTAATCATCGCCGAATTAGCCGAAAATAACTTTTGACGCACTAAATACCAACAAACAAACACCTTCTCTGGCTCGTGGTTCCCACAACCCTAACTAAAACAAAATAGTTCCCAAAGTGTATGACCTATGACGATAATATTCTTCTGTGTATGCCTGTAGAATGCTGCAACCTAGCTTCAGTAGCGAAAAACTAGTAATGGTCGGTACTGTACGACTCTCCCCTATATATTTAAGATCTTAAATAAACTTGATATCATTTGATTTAGATGCATTGACTATTAAATTACTCCATAAAATTAAAAAGTGAGACTATATAGTTTAAACGTTAGCAATTAGAGAGTAGTCAAGACAATAAGGTATAATGTACTGTAGAGTACAAATCATAAACACAATTTGTAAGATAAAAATCCGTATTTAACCTTAGTCGTACGAAATTGCTTATCGTTTAAATATTTTAAAATTTGACTAATTTGTTATTCGAAGTTAATAACTGATTTATTCTAATATAGACTAAGTTATCATACTTCCATATATGTAATGGTTGTATACAAAGTACAACATACTCATGCTTTATATTATAAACGAGTATAATAGCGAGTGTACTCGTTCTTCACAGGAATATTTAAAAAATAAACTTATAATAATATATATTTATACTGTATAAAAATACTACAGGAAAATTGAAGTTAAGAAGTAAGCCTGCGATCTTGGAACTCGTTTTCTCATTGCTTCAGTTTCAAAAATCGATGTCTATGCTGGTCCTCTTTTTTTTTTTTTTTAGTTTTAGTCCTACCTGCTTTATCACGTGCTTCACAATACTCCGCCATGATGGAAAATAACGAACTGTGTGAACGATCACATGCGCAGCTTTCCGGTTTGAAATTTGTGAGAAACTGAGTTTGAGATTAAAATAAATAAACAACGTCGATGTCGACTGTAAATTCTCTCTTCAATTCGGTTTTAATGTTTCGGCGATTAACGCCACGCTCTGCAACTGCTTTGATTAAAACGTTAATTAAAGAGCTAAACGGCGATGTTTAATGAATTTTACAAGTATAAAAGTGTGTAAAAATTTATTTCCCTTTTAAAATTTAACTATTCGCATTAACGTCGCGTCGCTTCTATCGTTGAGTTAATGCAGCGAGCGATGCGACGCGACACGCGATCGTGACTGAGCTAAATTTCTTCTTCCATTTTTTTTCGTTTTTTTCGTTATTGGGAGGAGTTCCATACTCTAAAAGCTCTTCTTTTTCGATAAATATAATATAATCTATTTATTAAACGTTCATACATTTAATCAGAATTATTTTATTCATGCAAAAACATTTTATTTCGATTCTTTTCTANATGTTAGCTTCCTTCGATATAGATCAACGCTTCTCGTCGAATTCTAAGAAAATTTTATCAATGATTTACATTGATATTTTTATTATCGAATCAATATACTTATTGTGAACGATCACATGCGCAGCTTTCCGGTTTGAAATTTGTGAGAAACTGAGTTTGAGATTAAAATAAATAAACAACGATAAAATCGTAATTTATTAATATATTTTATTATTTTAAACCGACAATAGACGGCGCTGTATTCTATAAACTGTCCACGTGGTTTAAGAATGGCGGATGTATTATTACTAGGTGTATTTAAGAACAATGCATCCACCTATTGCATATAGTAAAACGTTTGAATTGTTTGGAGATATCGGAAATTTTCAAAAAAATTTTGCCATAAAAGCTACCAGTATGTATAATTTCAAGTGTAAGAACAATTTAAAAAATAATATAGATTAGAAATTAGAAAATTTATTCTACGTCAAAATTTCATCTAATTTGAATTACAGTATTCAATATTAAACATTTACTATACATTAGATATCTATTCCATATTTAGGACCTGTATATCATGCCAAATTGAATATTCCATTACAAATCTGTTACTCGATCTTTACATATTGATTACAAATTAATAATTATTGGTCCACTAGTTTAATGTGTGAATTTATACGTATTTATATTAAAATTATAATACCTTATATTATGCATATAAAATTTTAAACTTTATTGAAAAATTCTGCTACAAGCTTTTAAATAACTAAATTTTTCCAAATATTTTATCCACGCTTGAATTAAATTCGTAAATTTATTTTTAAGATAAAAGAATTAGTAATTTCAATGCGTTTATATTAATTTTTTTATAATAAAATTTATTCTATATTCACGCAAGTTGGACCCCCAAGTGAATGGAGAGTTGTTGGTGCGTCATTTAAGAAAAAACCAGAAAAACAGATAATTTTTAAAAGTTTTTCTCCTCTGATGGCCCCTTAAGCTCATGGGCCCTCC